TCCTATATGAATCAAACTCTACATGCTAGAAGCAACAATCAGGAACCTTTCATGATGTTGAGGATGAAGCTGAGGATGGCTCCTCCTGCAGGGGGAGGAGGGAAGTACATCCGGTAGTCTCCCAAAGAAATATTCCACGCATCAGTCACATTAGCTTGATACGAAGCCAAGTCCTCCTTTGTGAGGTTTCCTCCTGAGCAAAATCAGTGAAACAAATGATTCTGCTGAGCAAAAATGAACACAATGCATTTCATAATCAAGAGTTTGAATGGATCCAGACAGATCCCAGTGTGGCCTGTGAGGGATCATGTTAGAGTTTTCCAAAACCAATCGATTTTTTAATTTGTAATTAGATCATTGTGTCTGGCAGACACAGAAAATGGTCAGAAAAGAGAGCAGGATGAATCCCGTCTGATAATACCTGCATCCTGAATGTCACTGGTTAAATTCTTTGCTATTGGTCCGTTGTAAAACACATCTGGTCCCTCGTTTGCGATCATCTCCAAAGTGTCAGCCAGTTTCTCAAATTTCACAGTATCACCGGTCTTAAGCAGGTTCCCATTTTTATCTAAATATAACTTCCTAAAAGACAAAGACAGTGAAATAAAGCTGAAACATTGTTTGCTCTTCGTATTTTTGAAATCACATTGTGGGTGTATTTCATACCTTATTGACGTATTATTAATGCGTGGGATGTGTTGACCTTGGTAGTAAGGAATAGGGAATCCTTCTCTGGCTAATTTGATGGCAGGTTGAAAGAGGTCGGCCCACGGCAACTTCCCATAAAGCCGGTGTGCCACTTCGTAACCTCGAATTTCCCCAGGAACCCCAATCCATCTGCTATCTGGTTAGATAGATAATGGGTAGTCAGGGCTGGAAAGTCACACATACATTTGCTCGTGTTTTGAGTAAACTGTAAGGTCCTGACCTTTAATGATCTGAGATGACATTTCTTATAATTTGGTGCTTTGTAAATTCTATTCTGCTCCATATCAGAGGGAAATGTGTGTCTGTTTGTAACTGATTATGTTAGAGATAACATTTTGCATCTCACAGTTATTTTAAGTTTATTTCACTATATTTACACATTTACACTATTTCTGGCTTGAAGAAGCATTTAGTATATCTTATACTTACTTTTCTTACTGTTTATGCAGCCTGTGTGCAGGAGTGTAGCACAGAACTCTTGGCCCCATAAATAAATGGTGTCTGTAGCCCCCTTTCTTTCCTTGATCCATCTTTCTCACACATATTCTAATGTCTAATTTCTTTATTTTTTTATATCTGCCACAAGTGAACTGCTCCAATAACTATTCCCAGTTCTTATTGCTGTCCATCCCATACTCAAATGCTGT